GTAGCAAAGCATTCGATTGGAATCAGTCTGAAAAGAGCCTGTTCAAAGCAGGGAGGAGGGGGTGAGCTGTGCCTCTCTGTTTGTAGGGAGCAGCCTGTTTTGTTTCTCTCTGTTTTGGGGTTCTTGTGCATTTTGACTTGTAAGAAATAGGGTCACATTGCAACCGTCCAGCACAAGTATTGTGTGTTTGTAAGCTATTTTTTCTAGTTGTACGCTAATTTCACCGTCATCCCAGTTCCTTCTCCCTGGCTGCATCAGGCTGTCTGACACATGGTGACCACGCCCCTATGGATCATGCCCTTCAGCAGTGATGTTCCCCCTAGGAGAACCATTCCACCAGGCATTGGTTGGGTCCCTGAAGGCAGAGCTGCCGGTCCGTATCAGCACTCGAGCCTTGTGTCCGTCTCCTGCCCCTCGTGTATAAATTCATGCCCATTTTTAATTCCGATGATTGCTTTCCAGAACGCCGGCACTCTCCCCACAGGGCAGGGTCTGTGAGCCCTCGGCCGACGCGGCGGCCTCCACGGGACACCGCCCAGTCAGGAACCTCTGACACAAACAGCTGGCTCATGGCCAATTAGCACCTACCAGTTAGTCCTTCCTTGAATTTATTTTTAAATTATCCATTGTCCTATTAGCATCATTGGGAGCCAGAGGCACTGACTCCAGGAGGAGAAAGCACCCGGAAAGGGATGAAATGCCACCCCCCTCAGAGGGTAATGCTGCAAAAGGGCGTAGTTTGGGGTTTAATGTACCTACCCCACATCATTCAGAAGCTTAGTTGCCGTGCCTTTAGTTGAGGTATGATGTGGAGCTGCCAACTGGTGCCGTAAGTCTGTTGCCGAGGGGAAACACTGGTACCCCAATGGGAAAGTGTCAGTTTTGTACAGCTCCAGAAACTCACTGCAACACGACTCTGACTGCAGTTTTCACTGTTTACGTTAATTTCAACCCCCTCTTGTGGTGTTTATTAGTCATAGCTACCCACAGCGATGTATGACAGGATTTGGATTGGGTTTGCATGGGCAAGTTTGTTTTGTTTTCCAGAAATGCTGAAGCTGTTTAGCATGAGGCAAAAATGGCAAATAGCAACCTGTTGCAATATACTACCATGAAATGTTTTCACATCGCATATTCTGAATGTCAGCGTGCCTCACAAGTGAGCAATAGTTTTTTATATTTTCAATTGAAATTTGCTGCCCAGATCTCTCAGTGAAATGTGCCCCAGGGCCAGGCAATCGCTGCATAGTGGTAGATATGAATTCCTCCTGTAATGCTTCTCCATTTGTAAGCTTTTGTACAGACAACGTAGCAGCGAGGCTGCCTGGTAGAACGTTTCAATGTGTAATTGCCTACGCAGGCAATATCAGCCTTTGAAATAGTCTGAAAACTGGCTTTTGAATTCAGTGACATGCACCATTCAGTGTTAGAGACAACACTGTGCAGCTTCGATCAAAGTGCTCACTACGCAAAAATGGCAGTTTGGATATTAACGTATAGAGCTAACGTAGCACAAGTCTGGAGACTTGTACACAGTGAAAAATGGTGGTAGTGATGGTGGTAACGTTAGCAACATACTTTGGGAACTCCACCCCGCAGGGAAGTTACGGTCTATGAAGACATGGAGGATGTAAGCTCTAAGGAGCTTGTACCAAAAAGACTCTCCACAACTTTGAAAAATGTATTCTTTGTCAAGAAAATCCAAAGAATGCCAAACTGCCAAATGCCACCAGAATTCGGTGCTGCTGGCGGCAGAAGGCAGGAGAGATGAATTGTACTGATGGCTACTGGATGAGTTGTCTAGGTTAGAGGATTTGCCATCAATGCTCCCGCACGAGAGCTGCGTTCACAAACACACACACAAGTCAAAGTTGGTGCATGTCAGAGTTGTCTTGAACCCAGGAAAGGAACCAGACACTGTGTTTATCTGCTTCTCTAGCTAGCACGGCAAGCCCGTCCTCCCGAGCCTAGGCCGGTTGCATTGTTTGCTTGAGAAAAACAAAACAGACAAGAAACTTCCTAAAATAGAAACCAATCGAGACAGCACCAATGGAAAGGCAGCAGCACTCAGAAGAGATGACGACACGTTGCGCAGAAGATCTGTGAAGACTTGATTGCTAAGGACGCAGTTTATCACTCATCTGCCTTTCTTCCCACTTGAGTAAAATTAATCAAAGCAAAACCAGCTAGTTACAGTACAATAGTCACCTTATGACACTGCATTTTGCCAGCGGATTGAAGAGCTAGACAATGATCGTATGTACAACACGAAAGCTCTTCTCCTGTCCAAGGGGCTACACAGGCCTAAAGCCCTGCACTGCCCTCAGATGTACACCGCGCAAGCGATTCCAGGCAAGATTAGAAAAACACGGTGGTTCTGCAATTTCGTTCCATGCACAGCATGGACAAGGTAAGTCTACCATTGCTCTAGGCAGCGCAATAACATCAGCTGATCCTGTCCAAGCTGCTAGCAAACTGAACCAGGCACCTAAGCCATCCAAGTGTTTGGTGGATGTTCTGGTGAGGGAGCCGGATGAGCCGCTTTCCAATGACCAAGTGGTTTGCATAACCCCGCTTCAATCCTTCGGGCTGAAAGAGCCCAAATGAAGCCTCTGCATATTATCCGAAGCAGGTATTTGTAGTTTACAGAGGGCAGTTACTTTTGTCTCCAGCTGGTGCAGGAGTCTGTCCTTTGGTTGGCAGATAAAGGGGCACATAATTCAGCCAGCAACGAGTCCCAGGCTTCAGGAGACATTCAGAGAAGGTGTCATTCAAGTGCGGAGCACCTCCCATTAACCGTTCCAAGACAATCACACCACTGCACACGCGCCTTGCTGCTCAGCCTTGCTGCTGAGTTTGGGCCTCGCAGTTGAATTGACCGACGGCGCGTCCATGGGTCTGCATCAGTTATGATGATGTCTCAGCTCATCAGCAGGGCTGCAAAAACTGCAGTGGCCAGACTCCAGGGAGGTGTGTGTCACAGGGCGTCGCTCACCGCCAGACGGGCGCCTCCTCCTGATTAGCTCGAGGCCGGTGCCCCCTGTCCACGGCCAAAGCTCCCTGGCCTCAGTGAAGGGGTAACCCGAGTCGATTCCATCCCGGCACAACACTTACCGACTGGGCACGGCTAGTTTGTTCGATTTCAGCTTTAACCCCCGCCCGGCAAATGCAGACCATTGCCCCGGTTCACACCCCAGCAGGCTCCCAGCAGCACCGGACATTCCTCTACCAAGCAGAACCGAGTTACGAGGGGACGTAGTCAGGGTTAGGTGGGCAACAGCCTCTGCTGCTTCGGGGCTTGAGCCAACCTGACCCATGGGGCCATCCTGCAGCCGCTGGCTGTGGCTCGGGGACGGGATCCCGGGCAAGGGGGGCCCAGTCTCAGCCATGGTGGCGATCCCGGTGCACCCCACAGACAACGCCCAGGGGAACAGATAAAGGGGCAGCAGGGGGTTGCAGTGGGTGTCCAGGAATCGGGCAATGTGAACCCGCTGGGGTGCTCCGTGTTCAGGTTTAGATGCCGTCAGAGCAGCAGTGTGGCTGGAGCAGGCCTGGGGCAGTTAGAAACAGGGGGATTTAGTGCCCCTCGGGCCACGTGGCTCCATCACAGCACGTTTGCTGGGTACAGAAGACAGGACGGGGGCTCCGTGCTGGCCAAGGAGGGAAAGACCCACTGCACAATTACCTGGGTCCTGTCTGGATTTTGTTGTTCCTCCTGCCTCTGAAGCATCAGAGCTGGCGAGAGCTGGACCCAGGCCAGGGCTCTGAGGCTCCCCAGAGAATCCCCTCTCAGGGGCCCAGCCCATGGGCCTTGCTCCCCTGCACAGGGGCTACCTGGTCCCCTTAGGAATCTCCCCCCCCGGGACTTGCAGCTGGCGGGGGGGGGGGGGGGGGGGTTGTTGCCTCCCTCTGCAGGCAGCATGAGGTGCAGGCCCCATGCTGGGATCGTCTGGCCGCCTGCCCTACTCACTTCCCGGTCACGGGCCTCAGCCCGGGGGGGCCCCTTGGTCCTCCCGTTCCCTGCCTGTGAGCACAGGGGTTTAGGCTCGTGCGGGCCCAAGGCTGGATGCTGGGTTAGGATGGGGGACCTGCGGGCTCCTTTGCTTTGGCACAGCGGGCTGGCGAGGCTGCTGCGGGGCGGCGCTGCCGCTGAGCGAAGCAGACGCATCAAGTGGCCTAGTTGACCCAGACCCGCTCTGGTCCCTGGTGCACTGACCGGCTCGGCTCCCCGGCTCGGCCCTGGCTGGGCTGCGAGGCCTTTCGGAGACATTCCTCAGCTCGTCCCCACCCTCTCCTGTTCCAGCCCAGCAGCGTCTCCTGCCCGCTTCAGAGGGTGAGGGGCTAACAGACCACACGGGCCTCGGAGCAGCGTGAGCTTGCACCGGCTGGGGCTGTAACGGTTCGGGGGTCAATGCACCGGCTGGGGCTGTAACGGTTTAGGGGTCAATGCACCAGCTGGGGCAGCTGAGTCCAGCCCGGTTAGAGCGGCCGCGGCCGGGCGCGGACCAGACCCTGGTTCTGCTGCGAGGTGAACGCTGGCACCAGCAGAGTCACCATCAGCCCCTGCAGCCAGCCCAGCCCAGCGCCCTACAGGCCCCGGGGCCTGGCACAGGGATGGGACACGCCGTGCCCGAGCAGCGCCAGCTGGGACAGGCGGGGATGGGGGGGTGGGGACTGGCCAGCAGCCGGGCTCTCAGCCCCACGAGCCAGTGGGCGAGAACAGAGTGAGTGTACAGTGCCCCCAGCCTCCCCAGGGCTGCTCTCTGCCCAGCCATGCCCCAGAGTGCCAGGGCAGGTCACTCTGGGCCAGGATAAAACCTCCCGTTTCCAGGCCCCATGGGCACAGGGCACCAGCCGAACCCACCCTGGGTCTGAGCACAGCATGGGATGGGGGGCCGCAGGAGGCTGGAACCAGCCACAGGGGGAGGGTTAACGTCAGAGTGCGGGGGGAGGTGACGGGGCAGGGCCCTGCTGGCGGGACGAACGGCGAGGGAGCAGCGTGAGGTGGGCACCGTGTTTATTTCTCACCATGCTGGTGCAATGTAGCCAGTCACTGGTCCCCAGCCTGGCTCCGTGGCAAGGCAGCTTCCTCCTCCCCAAAACGGAGGGCCCAGCTGCGAGCCCACCAGTGTCCGGAACAAGGGGGGCGCTGGTGGCGCCCCACGAACCTCGCACACCCAGTGTCCATCTCCTCCTGCCTGGGCCACGCTGAGCCCCCGCCCTGCCCCAGAACCACCAGCCCCAGGAAGGGCAGACGGGGTTCTGGGTGGGCAGGGAACAGTGTCTGGCCTGGGAGGGTCTTCGAGGCTGGTGGGGGCGTGGGGGGAAGGGGCGTTCAAAGCCTCACACGCGACGCTCCTTCTGGCGGTGCTTGCGGCCGGTCTGAGCCCCCCGCTGGGCCCCCTTCATCAGCCCCTTGAACTGTCCCTGCATCTTCGCCTTCTTCCTGGGGAGGGGACAGAGCAGAGGGCACAGGTGAGAGCGGGCACTGCCCGGAGTCAGCTTCATAGCAAGCCACCGAGCTGGGGAGCTCCCGGTCTGTCCCAGCAGGGGGCGCTGTGGGGAGGGGGGCAGGAGCTGGCTGGGGGGGAGCTCCCGGCCTGTCCCAGCAGGGGGCGCTGTGGGGAGGGGGGAGCTCCCGGGCTCTCCCAGCAGGGGGCGCTGTGGGGAGGGGGGGTAGGAGCTGGCGGGGGGAGCTCCCGGGCTCTCCCAGCAGGGGGCGCTGTGGGGAGGGGGGCAGGAGCTGGCTGGGGGGGAGCTCCCGGCCTGTCCCAGCAGGGGGCGCTGTGGGGAGGGGGGCAGGAGCTGGCGGGGGGGGAGCTCCCGGCCTGTCCCAGCAGGGGGCGCTGTGGGGAGGGGGGCAGGAGCTGGCGGGGGGAGCTCCCGGGCTCTCCCAGCAGGGGGCTCTGGCGGGAACTCCCAGCTGCCCTGCCATGCGCAGCCGCTATGGAGCACAGGGGCCTGAAGCGGGCCCGGGACTGGGATCCAGGGATCTGCTCCTGGCTTCGCTCCACTTCCACCCCAGCCTCAGAGTCGTCACGTCCCTGGGTGACCCCCAGCCGCACCTTCGGTTGAGCTTGGCTCTGTTCAGCGGGATGTAGGCATAGGGGTCCAGCCGGCCTTTCTTCTTCACGTCACCTCGGCCTGTCTGGGGAGCACACGAGGGGATGAGGAACCAGCCCGCCCCATGCTGACAGCCCTGGGCAGGGGCCCCCGAAGCAGCCGGGAGGCCAGCGGGGGCCCTGCCCCACCCCTCTCACCGCGTCCGGTCTGGCCTCCAGAACCAGGCAGCAGGGCTGCAGACCCACCCTCGGCTCAGTTGCGGCTGCTGGGCCGTGCCAGCACCGCCGAGACCTGCTCCAGGGAGGGAGCCAGGCCAGGAGACTACGAGGGCAGCGAGACAATCCCAGGGAACGCGCCCCAGGGCCCCCCCAGGAAGGGCCCCCTGCACCCATGGCCAGGGACACGCTGGCATCCACGCAAGCTGCAGCTCCAGGCTGGGAAACCGCCCCCCAGGCGACTGCCTGCCTCGGGCAGCACCGCAGCTGTGTGCCAGCCCCACACACTGCGAACAGGGGGAGCCAGGCAACAGCGCTGCCCTGCCATCTGCTCCCTGCCAGGGCAAACCCCAAAGCCCCTGGACATGGGGCCCTGCAGCTGTGGGGGACGACACCCTCCCATCCCCGCCAGGATCTGTTTCGCTCCACCCCCAGCCCGCCCCCCTGAGAGCCCGTGGAAAGTGACTCCCCCCTGCCCGGGGCCTCCTTACCTTGGCCTTGTAGTCTGCCCCAAGTGCCGGCCCTGCGCCCAGCCGCCGGTGGATGCCGGAGCCTCCAGCTAAAAACAGCAGCAAACCTGCATCAGATGCAGTTCGGGGCCAAGATTGGGATGGGGGGGGGGGGTTTATGCTCCCTGCCCAGGAGAGGGCAAGAGGCAGGAACCAGCACAGAGCTGGGCATCCCACACCCCTGAGTTCTGCCCCAGGGCGAGGTGGGTGCGATCCCCGGGGCTGCCAGGGTGTGTCAGTGACTGAGCTCAGCCTTTGAAACAGGCCTCGAGCCCAGCGCTCCTGAGGGGATCCAGAACCCACCCAAGACCCAGCTCCAGCCGCAGGAGCGGGGGCGGAAGCCAATGCTGATGCCTTGGGCACGCCCCGCTCTCTGGGAGCCGTCCGGCTGCGCGGGGTCGGGGGAGCCGGCCGGCCCCCACGCACGCTGCAGGTAGCACCGCGCAGCCTGGGGTCACCTTTGTAGTGCGTCTGAGTCCCATCCTCCGGCTCCTCGTCCTCCGCCTCCTCCCGGAACCGGCGCTTCTGAGCCTTCTTCTGCAGAGAGAGGGCAGCTCAGCGGAGCAGCTGGGACCCCCGGCTCCCCCATGGGGATCGGCTTTGCTGGTGAGACCGAGCAGGCCCTGCCCACAAGGCCGTGCCCCTGCCCTGGGTCCCAGCCTCTCCCCTGGAACAAGCCCCCGCTGGGACTGCAGGGCGTGACTGGCCCGAGCCCTACCCGGCCCTGGGGGCAAGCGCTCAGCGCCGGTACTTACGCTCCGGATCCCCACTTCCTGCATCAGGTCGGCCATCTCCTCATCCACTCCTGGAGCAAAGAACAGTCGGGTCAGAGCCGGGAGCCAGGGCCCGGACCCACCCAGCTCCGGGGCTGGGACCTCCTGCCTAGGCCCAGCCAGACGGAGGGTGGCTCAGGGACTGACACGGCACCCCGGCAGCATGGCTGCTGTATCCAGCAGAGGTGTGGGGGGCCCCAGGGCGCCTTTGCCAGGAGCGGAGACCTGCCTGCTATGGCTGCCCCACGTCACCAGGTGGGTGTGGCCAGGCAGCCCCACAGCTCACAAGAGCCCCCCTGCCCGGGGTGAGGTTGTCCCAGCACTGCCCAGGCTGCAATGTGCCCAGAAGAGGGGTGACACCAGACCCCACACCCAGGGCCAGGAGACATTCCGGGGCCCAGGCCCCATCACACAGCTTGCCAGCTGTGGGCACTGGGGCAGGGAGGGGGCGGCTTGACGTGGAGCATTGGGTGGGAGGAGGAGAACCTGGAGCAGGCCGCTGAGCCTCGGGAGGTGTGGGGGAGCCGGGCCCTGCGTTCCCCATCCCGGTCGGTACCTTTGGCTCCCTCGTCGTCCTCGTCCTCAGGGCCCTCGCGGATAATCAGGCGCCCGTCCGCCGACACCTTGAAGTCATGGCTCGCTTCCCTGGCCCTGCCGCCGCCCGGCTTCGTAGCTGGTTCAGCCGAGAGACGGAGGGGTTAGCGAGCCCGGGGCAGATGCGGCTCGAGCCAAGAGGCGCCCTGGCTGGGAACACGGCCAGCCACCCAACCCACCCCCAGCTCTGGCATGGCCATGGCTAACCCCACCGTGCACAGCCCCCCAAAGCCCAGCCCGCGTGCACAGGCCCAGACAGCAGGGGCAACGGCCAAGGTCCCCCAGCCGAAACAGCCACGTCCTGCCACGGGCAATGCTGGGCCCCGTGAGCTGCTCCTTACCCAGCACCCTCTGGGCCACGTTGGGGTCCAGGAAGTTGAGGGGCTCATCCCCTTCGCCCTCCTTCAGCCAGGCCTGGCTCTTCTGCCGAGCCTGCTTCCTCTGCTCTCTCCCGCCACGCCTCTCGCCCTCCTCCTGCTCCGAGTCTGAGTCGGCCAGGAGCTCCTCCACGCTGGGATGGGAGACAGCAGGCAAAGGGTGCTGTGCCAGGCCGATGCAGAGCACCCCGCACCGGCCCAGGGCGCGACCCCTCCCAGTCCCGTGCCACCCCCAGCACCGGCCCAGGGCACGACCCCTCCCAGCCCCGCGCCCCCCCAGCCCTGCGCCACCCCACAGCACAGGCCCCGGGGCGAGACACCCCCCCCCAGCGCCAGCCCCAGGGCATGATTCACTCCCCTCCCCAACTCCTGAGGAACCCAGCCCTGGCCCCGGTGTCCCCGCCCCACATGTCTCCTGAGGGACAAGCCAGGCAGCGCCATGTCTGGCAGACGCTCCCCACACGCCGGACCTTGGGCTAACGGGCTGCCCTCCACTCAGTACCTGTCTCCCCTGGGCTGCGCCGGCGCCTCCTCCTCGCTCGCGGCCACCGCCTGCTTCAGGGCTCGCTGCTTGCGGCTCCGGGCCTCGGCCTTGCGGATGTTCAGCAGCACCTTGTGGTACTCGGCGGGCAGCAGCCCCCGCACCAGCTCGAAGCTAGGGGCAGAGAGAGCGTTCAGCAGCCCCCGGCCTGGCACAGCCCCCCATTGACACCCCCCCATACACCCCCGGTGCAGGAGACCCCCCCACTCGCTGGCCTGAGGCTCAGCAGTGGGCAGCGCCCCCCGAGCGAGAGCTCCGCCGCCCCCACCACTCCCCGGCCCCTCACCCGAACTTCCGGATGAACTTGGTGAAGAGGTTTCTCAGCTTCATGCGGAAGTGACGCCTCATGTCGTCCGTCAGGCGCCCCACGGCCTCCAGCTGCCGGGACAGAGCGCGTCACCCCCAGTGCCCGGGACAGAGCCCCCCCATCCCCTTTCCCACACCCTCCGGGACAGAGCGTGTCACCCCCAGTGCCTGGGACAGCGCCCCCCAGCCCCTTCCCCCCACCCCCCGGGACAGAGCGTGTCACCCCCAGTGCCTGGGACAGTGGTCCCCCATCCCCCCCGGGACAGCAACCCCCATCCCCTTCCCC